AGTATGTATCTTGTACTGGATTATTTTACAAGAACAACTTTATGATCAGGTTTCTTTTATTGATGCCTACTGTAATGCTCTCCATTTTTGTTCTTCAACTGAGTGCAATATAGGAAGTGGCTGCTTAATGCTCATTGGTATAAGGAATAAACATTGGATTTTCTTTTCTTTTTTGTAGTTTCCATATTTTTGTTTTTCTTTATTTTTTTTTTATTGAGTTTATTGGTACATTTAGGGATACAGTACAGTTACATTCATTGTTGGGATCATGTACCTTTACATGGCAAGTCTTGATTCTCATTTTTTTCCCCTTACCTCTGCCCTCCCTTCACCCCCTCCTCCCCTCCCCATCTACAAACACTTTATTTTCATCTTTTCATTCTCTCACATTTTTTTCTTTTCCCTTTTTGTTCTTCCCCTACGTATCACACCTTCCCTACACCTTTAGCTCCTTTCCTCCCATTTCTAAATGTCCATTACTGACATTTTTATCTGCAGTCTCCTGCCATCAAAGTTCCCCTGGTATCAAACTTATTTTACTAAGAAAAAATTGTCATTACCCATCTAAAATCTATAGTTTACTAGGCATGGTGGCACACGACTGGAATCCCAGCACACATGAGGCTGAGGCAGGAGGACCACTGTGAGTTCAAGCCCAGCCTGGGGTACATAGCGAGTTCAAGGCCAGCTTGAACTATATAGCGAGGCTCTGTCTCAAAACACAAAATAATTAATTAATTAAATCTGTATGTTTATACTCACATTATTTCTGGGATGCTAATATAGGAAAAATTAATAATTCAGAAATAATACCTGTTTGTATCCCTAGGCAAAATTTAGTTGAAAATGTAATGGATTTTTAAATTATTTGCCTACTTAAAAGTTCAGTCTCTCTATTCTCCAGCTCTACAAATACCTAAGTGGAGGCCACAATTCAAAGAGCAGCCATTCTGCTGTTCTTCTCTGCAGGTGGTTAAAACACCAGTGCCTCTGAGCATTTCTAATCTCAGAAACACAACACAGAACTCTGTTCCCTGTTCCATAGCAACCCAAGTCCTAATTCAAGTACCAAATAAAAATCACTTGATTAAAAATTAATTATGTTCTGGGCTGAGGATTTAGCTCAGTAGTTCTGCTGCCTCTGCCTTGCAAGTACAAGGACCAGAGTTCATCCCTGGTACCACAAAAAAAAAAAAAAAAAAAAAAAAAAAATTATGTTCTAACATTCGTGGATCTAGTTTTACCACTGACATCTGGGTTATGAGGTTCCTCAGAATGAACTTAAGTCGAGCCCTGCCACAGGGCGTTGGAAGCCCCGTTCTCCCTCCGTCCCTCTCACGCCGAGGGGAGGGACTCTGGCTCACGTGGGTGGAAGGGATGGCTCCCTCCGCCGACCCTGTCCTCTTGATCAGTGGCTAAGCCAGGGCCCCTACCAGCTGCTTCTCCCAGCAGAGAGAGGCCTACTCACTCCTGCCCTGTGCACGTGACACCATGACACCAGGCTTCTCGGTTGGCCTTCCCGAAGCCATCGGGGGAATGGCAGCCTCCTCGTGGGCCTCCTACACGCACACACACAGTGCCAGGAGCCACGCATCGTGAGGATGGGCACCCTGGCTCTCCTGGGAATCTTTCTTCCACCGTGGGAGTCAGGAGGCCTGCAAGCTTACTCTACAGGGTGGTTAGGGTCCTTTTCTCAACCCGGGGACCCTTGGACCCAGCCAGGTCACAAGACGTCTTTTTTTGGGTACCAGGAATCGAGCTCAGGACCTTGCGTGTGCCAGGCAGGCGCCACACAGCTGAGCTACATCCCCAGGCCACAAGATGTCTTCTTAAATACCACTTTTGAGGAAAGCCGCCCGTGTTCTCCCCTCACCTAAAACTATCTGCCACCTCCTTCCACCGCACCGTAATTCCTGTGTAACATGCATGATGCCTCTGCTCTGTGAGCTCAATGATAGCACTGTATTATTTACAGCTATATTCCAAGCATCCAGTGCAGGGCCTGACAGATAACAGAAACTTGACAGGGGCTGACCGATTTAAAAACTGTCTTCAAATGGAAATTTTACAAAGTGTGAAGTAAACTTACTGAGTAATCTTCACAGTCAATGAGATACTTGATCGATGTTTTCAATGAAGTAACAATTATAAAAATGAATTTAGGTCACTTAGAAAATGACACAATTTCAAACTACTACTATTATACAGTGCCTTACATTAACCCAAAGAATCATCTTAAAATTATGCATCAAATTCTACTGGAATTTACGTACTTTAACACAGGTTTAGCTTCAATACTAAAAACAGCATTAGTCATTGTTGTAGCACGTACATGTTACCTACCATAAGTGACATTGTGATTTAACTCAGCTCTTCGTAAGGATTCATCAAGAACATCATACATTAGTTCACTTGTCCTGTTTAAAAGATATTTTATTTGCAGTGGAATTATAGTATTTTAACCCAATATAACACACTTTTTCAAACTTCTCTCTCTTTAAAACTGAGGATCTACAGAAGAGAAGTAAAAGAAATTCAATTTACGAAGTTATACAAATCTCATGTCCAAAAGATTTCATTTGCTCTTTTCATGAACTGAACTTCCTGTCTATCAAAGAAAACACACACACACGTCAAGCAGCTCTTACCTGGTCCACATTTACAAACCAGGTTATTGACTGAACACACTATCTCTTACCATTTTCTCTGCAACAAAATAGTTCTACCTGTTATTACAGTAATACTTCACATACCCAAATTACTCTAGACAGTATACTGTTATTAATCAATTTGTTTTAAAGATATTCAAATACTAGTCTTTCCCTATACAGCAACTAAGTTCTTCAGTGAGAAACTTAGTTTTCACTTATCAAAATAGAGAAGCCAGCTGTGGTGGTACATCCAGCACTTAGGAGGCTGAGATAAGAGGACTGCCAAGTTTAGGCCCTGTCTGGGGCTCATGTCTCAAAAGATAAATTTAAAAAGGGCTGGCTATATGGCTTAGTGCTGAAGCCTGGATTAACTCAGTGCCACCAAAATAAAAAAGTGTACACACACACACACACACACAATTATGTACATGTGAAAGTCACAGATTTCTACCACTTATATGTCTTTCTGTCCCTAATTACAGTAGATATGGTAACTGGGCTCAGACAGATGGTGTTTATAAACAATGCAGTGTTCACGGAACTCTCGCACTCTGCCTCCCCAAGCCTCTAAAATTCTTCTCTAAGAGGTCAATAATACTGCTTCTCAGATTTCTGTGTCTTTTACAAATTCAAAAAGCTCTAATGGGAAAAAAAAAATCAAACAGCAACACAGGTTACACACAATGGTCTTAGAGAGAAACCAGGCTGTAAAATAAAAATTCCAAAATAATCTGGGGCCATATAAATTAGATAACAGGAACATGTTATCTCTTTCCGAAAAATTTCACCTTTCCCAAAATGAGCTAAAAAATTTAATCTTTTTGTTTGTTTGTTCGTTTTGTTTTGTTTTTTGAGACAGGGTCTCACTATGTAGTTGAGACTGACCTGGAACTCACTATATAGCCCAGGCTGGTCTCAAACTCACAGCGATCCTCCTGCCTCAGCCTCCGGAGTGCTTGGGATTACAGGCATGCGCCACCAAGCCCGGCCTAAAAAATGTAATCCTAAGTGTGTTTACTTGCATTCTGTCTTGGCTGATGTACAAATCCACAAATAAGAATCCAGAACTGTACTCTACAATCTCTCATTTTATCATGTAGCATCTCTTCCACAAGAGCAGACACTGCCAGTCCTTCCCCCAAAGTCTGGTAACGCTCAGCCTAGATTATTCTGTGGTTCCTCAATTTCAAAAGCCACTGTCTGGCCCAAGGGTCGTAATTAACCACAGGAAAGGTGGACGCATTTGTGGACAAGAATGAGCCAAATGCTAATAACCTGAGAAGCGTAACGCTAGAAACACAAGAGACTGTGAAGCAAGGTGAGAAAAGGCTTTTCTGGGAATTTGTCTTCCAGTTAAATGCGTCAGTGCAATTTTTACTTTGCCACACTGAGCTAATCATGCCTTCTGATGTTAAGGCTCCTGGGGACATAAAACCTCATTAGAGTTGGGGCAGCAAAGGAAAAAGCGCCCTGGTGACCTGTGACATGCACAGGGGTCCAGCCCTCATGCACTCAACCAAGGCCACGTTAGCACTCAGCACTCTGAAGGGCGCTCTCCCCGTGCCTCTCCGTCTGCATCCTCCAGCCACCCGGGAAGGAGGGAAGATAATGCTTCCTGAATTTAGTGAGCAAATGCAACTTATGGCAGTAAGTCTTTTTTAAACAAATAAGGTATAACGCACACTAATATGAAATTAGTGGTTTTAAAAAAGAATGCCAATGGCCTTGACCTACAGTTCCATATGAGGACTGGCTGGCGGTCCAGAAAACAAAACATAGTAGGACCGGGGATTTAGCTCAGTGGTTCTGCCACCTGCCTCGCAAGCACAAGGTCCTGAGTTCAATCCCCAGTACCAAAAATAAACAAATAAATAAAGCATAACGAAGACAAACATTTCTAATGTGTTTCTGCTCCACCCCTCCTTTCACTCCAGGCTTCCAGCAGGGGTTGAGCTTTGTAAACATTGAAAAAACAAAATCAAAACACTTAACGCAGTACCACAAAGTGACAAGGTCCACTTAGCACTGACCAGGTGCTCAACGGGAAGCCTTTCTAGGGCAACAGGGGGAGGACGGTCCGCTGCAAGGTGAGGCTAATGGGTCAGAATATACAAGTGCTCTGCTGCACGAAAGGGAGCCACATCCGTACTGCTGGCACACTGATGAACAAAGGCTTTCCTGAGACAGAAACACATCGGGAGCACCAGCCAAGGCCCCTGCTCTCAAATAAAATGTCATTGATCTTGCTCACGCACAGTTCAGGAAAAACAGAAGTATGTGCACGTGCACGCAGGAGAGTGAGGAAGTGAGTGTGAATAGCTGTCGGTCGAGCAGCAGGGAACAAGGGTACATGAGAATGGTCTAGGGACCACAGAAGTTTGTAAGTTCGAAAAGGCATGGCAAAATTTACAGTTACAAAACATACGTATGCTTGGGAAGATATTCTAAAATGTCTAGCATCACTCATGGACTAAGAGTGATCCAAGGTAGGCCAGGGATTTGGCTCAGTGGTTCCACCGCCTGCCTCGCAAGCACAAGATCCCGAGTTCGATCCCCTGTACCCCGCCAAAAAACAACAACAACAAAAAGTGATCCAAGGTAAACAGATTCAAAAGTGAGGCATGCACAAGCAACCAGAGAGCCTGCAGCCACCTGGCCAGGCCCATGCTTTTGGACAGTGCAGGCCAAGAGTCACTTTGACATTTTTTAATGGTTGGGAAAAAAATCAAAAGGGCACCATTTCAGGACACATGAAGACTATGAAATTTAAGTTTCGTGTCCGTAAAGTTTTTCCGCAACACAGCCATGCTCACTCACTTACATACTCTCCACAGCTACTTTCCAAAGCCAGGGCAGAGCTGAGGGCTACAACAGACCATGTGGGGCCCACAAAGCTTCAGGCAATCACTTGCTGGCCCTTTGCAGAAAGCATCCCAACTTCTAGAGGACATGAAGAAAGCCTCACGGTGGGGAGCCTGGTCAAGAGGCACAGGATGATCCCCAGCAACCCGAGAAAAATCACACACTTCTCTCCCAGTCTCCTTAACACTCTTAAGCCAGCAAAGCCCGGGAGGATCTGGTTCATCTTGGACTTCTGGGTGACTACAGCCTGAGGCTACCACAGGCACACAGCTAACTTACTTAGAATGGTTTACCTTTGGTCGTCTTTTCCTAGAAGTCCTAGTATTCTTAAGAGCTGAATTTGTAACCATGGTGCTGGCACGCTGTGGTAATTGAAATCTACTGGGAGCTTTCCTCCAACTACTTGCTTTAAGATTGTTACAAAACTCCCAGTCAGGTCTTTATATCCAGACGAATTCTCCTACATGCACAAAAAAAAAAAAAAGCAACTTTCTGTGAATATAATGTTTTCTCAAATATTAAATACACCTAGTTGAAATGCCATATAGAACCCAGTAACTTAAAACATGCCAAGTTTGTATCCCATTTAACAAAACCGTGTTCAGTATATATCATTTCTTCCATGATGAAACTCCTCTGGCTACCCAGTCCAAAAGCTGATTCATCTCCAGAAATGCCTCCTACTCCCTATTTTTTCCTACAGTTTAATCACATTTCAAAAGTTCTTATAATTACATCTTACAATGCTTAATAGCCAATATTAGTAATTAAAGCAAAAACTAAAAAGAATTGGCAAAGTGGAAGGGGGCAGTAATGCCATTCCTTTGGATGAAAACCAAGGCTTGTTCACAATCTCTGCACTCTGTGCACAAAGTAAATGAGTTAAATTCATTCCCGGGTGAGGAGCACAGCCAATACTTCGTAAATGCTCAAAGCCCCCAAATCAGTGAGCTGTCAGTCAAGAATTAATTACCCAGATAGTATGTAAATACATTTCTATTTCTGAGTGAGAGGGCCTTGATTATCTATCTGACTAATCTCTTGGACTAGGAAAATTAGATATATCCTCCCTAAAATGTACATTAGATTCTTCACTGTCATTTTTATCATGCATCAAGGGCAGATTTTTAGAAGAGAAATAACCAGACTTTCAAATTTTAGTAAAATGTTAAAGGGGAAAATAAGATTTTATATAACCATACTATTTTGGAACGTACTGGCTAAAAGAGACGACAAGCTTTGCTTCCTAAGCTTCATAGTTCAACGGCATATTTCATTTTGTTAGTGTTTATGAAATTACTCACAAAGACAAACTTTTGTTTGTTTGTTTTTTGAGACAGGGTCTCACTATGTAGTTGAGACTGACCTAGAACTCACTATGTAGCCCAGGCTGGTCTCGAACTCACAGTGATCCTCCTGCCTCAGCCTCCCGAGTGCTGGGATTACAGGCATGAGCCACCACGCCCGGCACAAAGACAAATTTTCGAAAAGGTTTCACACAATACACTGAAAATGAATTGGTATAAAGCCACCATCAACATTTAGAGGAAATTTTGACTGTACCATCTGACCCTCTTTCCTCATCTGTCACAGTCTGGACAGATGGAGCCAGCACTGCAGTGCACACCTGGTGTGATCCCCCCTGTTCTACGAGTTATTATGCAAACCAGGCAGCTATGTAAGAGAATCGCTGTTTGAACAAGCACAAAACTGCCGACTTAACTCTCCCTTCTAGAACTGCCATTTTCTGTATTTCTTTGGATACATGAGAAGACAGGCATTTTAAAAACTCTAATTGTGTAACACGCCTTTAGCTCATATAATCAACAACTTACAAAACTTACTATTAGAAAATCAATAATAACAGCATCAAATGTTAATGAAGCATTTACTGCAATTTAATCCTGTAATTATATTTCTCATGGTATTTGGAGAAATACCTGCCGCAGTTTCTACCTTACCTTAATCATCCTAAGGTATATGTGCAGAGAAGCAGCCATGACCCCCACGTCTCTGTCACAAAGCGCTTTCCGAAACTTAATGTGGATGTGCTGCACTTGGTTAGGAGCGATGAGATGGAATTTGTACAGTGCCAGCACAGCTTTTCTTCGTATAATCTCCCTAAGGACAAAAAATGAAACCTAAATCTCTAGGCATTAGGTTTGAAGATTACAGGCCAGATGATTTAAAATGGTCAGCTATAACCTTAATCAAAAAAAAAAAAAGAGACAGAGAATATGACATATTTAATATTAACTTCTTTATTCTAACATATTAAGCTATAAAAAGTAGTTATCTGTAGGGGTAAGATCTCTACTTATGGAATTTTTGAATACCATGCAAGTATTTACTTTTGAAATTTAAAACAAGATAAACAAATTTCTTAGTTTCCTAATTCCATTTTTAAAAATTTCATCGCTAGAAACTGGGAAAGCACCAAGTAAGTTTAAAGCATTAACAGGTAGCTTTAGCTAGTAACATTAAACAATCTCTTAAGAGTATGAAAATATTGTTATGATAGGAAAGCACAGCCGAAATACTCTGGAGATGAAGAGACGCGCAGAATAAGGTGAAGCTACGCCTCCCTTTGCCTGGTCTGTTTTAAAACCTCAAAGTATATGAAGCAAGAACAAAGGGATGCTATCTTTCACTTTTTTTTTTTTCTTTTCAGTATTGGGTACAAAGTCAGAGCATTCCACAGGCCGGGCAGTCTACTAGCTAAACTCCCATTCCCCGCTTTCCTAAAACAATTTTTTTAGACAGAGTCAAACGACATTGGCTGACCCCTAACTCAAAATCCTCCTGCCTCAGCCTCCTGAGTAGCTGGGATCACAGGCATGTGTCACCATGCTCAGCTCTCTGTTCTATATTCTTGACACAGGCTTTCAAGGAACTGTATTTCTTGTTATTCTCTCATGCTTATTTCTACATAGCTGCACATATCTGTACATATTTCTACATACCTGTACATATTTGAAGACCAGTCTGACAATGCTCAAAACAACAGTAAACAACACAGAAGTGAACTATTTATTTTAGGATTCCGTAATAAGATTTCTTTTACCAAAATCATACAATCTAAAAATCAAGGTCTTCAATGCAATACCTGATGTTCTACTAAAGAACAGCTTTTAAAGAAAAACAACAACAACAAAGAATAAAAGCTTTTATAAAATTCAAAGGAATAGTTACCCGGCTTCTACGAAATTCCATTAACAGACAACTCACTACTAAGCAAACTATGCCGTGATGGCAAATTCTTTTCACATAAAAAGAAAAGCAGATTAGCAATAGACTTGCATAGAATTAACATCTTGGTAATTGTAAACTACCTACCAATGTAATTATCTTTGGGCGTTAACCAGTATTAACTTTGGGAGAAAGTGGAGAGTTCCTAAAGAAAGGAATACAGGCCTGGCATGGTGGCGCATGCCTGTAATCCCAGCACTTGGGAGGCTGAGGCAGGAGGATCATTGTGAGTTCAAGACCATCCTGGGCTACATAGTGAGTTCCAGATCAGTCTCAACTACATAGTGAGACCCTGTTTCAAAACACCAAAAAGCAAAAAGAAAAAGGAAAGAAATTGAAAAGAGGCCTTTTAATTCTCAGAGCGATTTCATACAAATGGTTAAGCATGGTCACACCGAAGAGAGGTGGGAAGGAGGAACTACATGGAAATATGCTGCTGCTGCAATCAGATCAACCTACAATACCCACAGAAAGCTACCATTTTATTTTCAATAATTAATTGCCTATAATCACCCTCTGTTCTAAACAGATCTGACATATAAAACATGATGAAATGTCTAGAAAAACCTAAAAGTTATTCTGTCATTCTTGGTAAACAGTATCGTTTTAGCTAAGGCAATTCAAGGTCAAAAATTTCTAAAAGAATGCAAGCTATTAAGACAACATTTTACAATCTAGAACATTAAAAATACTGACTTCAAGCAGAGTATGAAATACAGAAATGTTGTGTGACAAAAAACTCTTCATCAAGAACGTACGTATAACTGACACAGTGTACGTAATCACAAAGGAAAATGACTACAAACTTTTTACTAAAAAGAGCTGTGTTAAAATAAATTACAAGCATGGTTAAAGTGTGTATTAAGTTGACCAGCAGTAGAGTGTTAGGAATCTTACAAGGGCAGATCAGCAAAATACTACAAGCCAATGTTCACTTGGAAGTACTCTGCTGTGAATTAGAATTTGAACATCGTGTTTTCTATATAAAAAGCACCTTTCTTGTACATGGAAGCTTCACATTCACAGCAACTAAACCATCTTTATTTTCTATTATTTTACTTTACTCTCAAAAAAACAATTTTGGGAGAACCAAAAAGCTCCAACCAACCCCACCACAGACAATAAAAAAAAAAAAAAAAAAAAAAAAAAAGAACCAATGCTCATTAGTGGTAAAATTGGGAGAAAAGCCACGGATTCCAGACTCTGAGCCTCACTGTCTCTCAGTTTAACTAAAAAGCTGCCTGACATTTTCTAAACCCTCATAAAAATAAGAACAATTCTATCGGGGATTCCTATACTATATCAGGTAGACAAAGAATATGCTCAGCCGGGCATGGTGGCGCACGCTTGTAATCCCAGCACTTGGGAGGCTGAGGCAGGAGGATCACTGTGAGTTCAAGACCAGCCTGGGCTACATAGTGAGTTCCAGGTCAGTCTCAACTACATAGTGAGACCCTGTCTTTTTAACAAAAAACAAACAAACAAAAAGAATATGCTCAATTCTGGTAGCACTAAGTTAAAAGTCTAGAAATTTTCTAGTCTGTCTCTGTTATGAAATACTTGGAAAGAGTTTACTTACTTAGAATGTTGGAGTTTATCTTCTATTAGTGGGAGAACAGCTGGGATCATCTCTCGAGGGAAAATCTGGCTGACAACAGTAAGTGCCATACAAGCTTCTACCAGGTTAGTGCTCTGAAGATCCTGACACAATCATTAGCAAAGAAGATATTCAGTGTACATTCTGAAACTAGGGAAAGCAAACTCGACAATGTGAGGGTCCCACGTACTTAGTGATTCTGTATTAATCTGTACATTCGGATTTATGTCACTCTTTAGAGGAACATCCCTATTGTTCTCATTTCCCTTAACAAAAAGCAACTGATACCAAAGGAAACTTTCATTTTGATGCTGGCCACAGTCGTCTCTTTCCCATATACTTTAAATTTTCCAAACCAACAGGGAATGGCGATGTGTGCCTTTAATCCTAGCACTCAGGAGGCTGAGGCAAGAGGACTGCCATGCATTTCAGCCAGCCTGGGCTACATACTGAGTTCAAGGCCAGCCTGAACTATATAGTGAGAACCTGTCTCACAGAAATATAAACCAACAAACAAAAAAAAGAAAATTTTCCAAGCCAATGAAAAACCAATTTTATAGGTTGGCATGACGGCGCATGCCTGTAATCCCAGCACTCGAGGCTGAGGCAGGAAGATGGCCATAAGTACAAGGCCAGCCTGGGCAACACAGTGAGTTCAAGGCCAGCCTGAATTACAGAATGAAACCCTGTATCAAAAAACAAATTAACAAAAAAAATTTTATAAATTTTTCTTAACAACAAGCGGAAATTTGAAAGTAATTCTAGAAGTCATGCAATAGACTGCTTATGTTCACATACACTCATGTATGCATTCTAATAGTACTTCAGAATATTTTTAAGGTTTGAAAAAAGTTAAACCACTAGTACCTTTAATATATATTTTAAAATTCAGAAAATACTACACACATAGTCTCTCGTGTATTGATACAACCTACAAGATAAACAAGAAAAAGCTCAACAATTATACTTCATTTTTTAATCCTATTAGAAGTTTAGTAGGACAAAATTTTGAGAGTGCGGATTATTTTTATTACAATTCAATTACTCGATTATATCCTATATCCATTTACAATGACTTTTTGTATTTTAAAGAGGTCAGTTATTCAGTTTATATCTCTGTCTCTTGAGAAAGATCGGAAAGACAAAAACAGCAGTGTGGAAAGTGCCTGGCAATCTGGGCTGTAATTCCAACTTGGGTGTTTTAATTAAGTAATGATATCATCAGCGGAAGCAGGGCCTCCCACCACCCTCACAGCTCTGCGAGTCCCACTTGACGACACAGATCTACAAGAGCTTCTTGGACCACTTGGTAACCCACCTACTTCCACAATTATCTAACTCATTATGATCAGAGAGAAACATCAGTTGCCCGCAGCAGTCATTCCGGACTTCATGTTAACCAACGCCCAACATCGTACCTTTACCACCGTATTCACCAGGAGAAGCAACAATTCGTGACTTTCATGGAGAAATAAAGACACAGCCAGATAACCTACAAAAATTAAGGAGGAAAGTCTTATTACTACCTACCAAAAAGAAACTTTTCCCAAGAAGTTAGATAATCTGTTCCAAAAGTCTTCAGTGTCAAAATACATCAGTTTCAGGAAAACATAAAAACAAGTTGTAAAATATGAGATTAAAAAACTGCTAAGGAAGATTTCAGGTGTTCTTCATCCTGAAATTTCTCAGAATTATGTATTTCAGGGCTGGATGTGGCAGTGTACACCTGTAACCCCAGCACTCAGGAGGCTGAGCCAGGAGGATCGCCAGGAGTGTGAGGCCAACCTGGGCTACATAGTGGACCCTTTCTAAAAATAAAAAATTATGTATTTCACAAGATGCATACCAAGTTAAAGCCCTGTAAAAACATTAAGATGTGCCTTCTAGTTCCTGTGCAAATCTCCATATCATTGATCAAAATGTTCTCTACCTGACGAACACATAAGTATTCCCAAACTCTCATAGTTACTACAGTTAAGTCAGTACTGGTTGTTGTGTTATGGTGGGAGCTGCCTAATACCAGTCTACATGATGTAAATGTACCTTAAGCCACACACAATACCGAATTTCTCAATTTGAAGACGCACTATTAAAAGAATAACAACAGCCGTTGAGCAAAGAAAAACTATCTACCACACTGAATAGACTCGTGGGCTTAAATAAGCATTTCTATGTGAATAATATTAAAACCTGTAAAGGCACATTTTAGGATGAAATATATTAATACCATGACAAATGCCATGCACATGTAATCCAGCCCTTTTCTTGTTGCCTCTCAGACTGACAATAACATTTATTAGGGCTGGGGATTGAGCTCAGCGGTGCCACCACCTGCCTCACAAGCGCAAGGTCCCGAGTTTGATCCCCAGTACCAAATAAATAAAAACATTTGTCAGACAGACAGCAAGAAAACAGTTCTGAAAGTGCCTTCTCTTAAATTCTTTGGTGATTTGGTCATCGTAATAGTAATCTACCCAGTATGAACCTTAACATTCATTACCAACAACGATGCAGTGAGGAGCACAAATATTTACAGAACAGTAACCAAGGAAGAACTGATATTTTTGATCCTGTGGAAAACATAACTCTAAAAACTTTACCTGCGTTTTTGTGTCAAAAATATCTCTATTGCCAAAAAAGAACAACTCTAATGGGATTTATATTAAGGAAATGTTACATAAAACATCCCTTTTGTGATTATTACAATAACTGTTCTATATGCTTTTTTTTAAAGTAGAAGAGTCAAGTTTCAGCTTGGAAAAACAGAATGTGCCTTGATTCAGTGAGTGTCAACATCTAGAATTTCATCAGTCCGCAGGATGGCAAGGGTTATTCATCTACTGCAAGAGATAGCTAGTTTTCTCCCCGAAGAACTTTTTCTGTTTCCACATCCAGTGCTCATCCTGCTCCTCCAAATGTGACCCCCTCACACCCCTGAAGCAAGCGCCTGCTGCAGATCTTTTTCCCAATCAGGAGAATCCTCTTCTAGCACAGCTGTCTCCTCTTCCTTGTTGTCCAGCACAAGTTGCTTCATTTCTGTCCTTAAGCCTTCCCTATTTAACTTGCAGGCACTGAAGGCATCACTGCCGAATTCAGAAACGCCGGGGCTTGTGCAAATTCCTTCCTCAGCCCCTAGAATTTTAAGCGGAGATCTGATCGTGACAGGTGGCGCTTGGGGCCGTACTGACTGTCGGCAGCGAGTTGGAGCCCGTGGGGCTGCTCTTCTCCTTGCCCACGACCTACTGCTAACACCAGGGCCATGAGCTGGGCGAGTTGGAGCCCGTGGGGCTGCTCTTCTCCTTGCCCACGACCTACTGCTAACACCAGGGCCATGAGCTGGGCCGACTTCTCGATGAAGGTCACGCAGTAGAAGCAGCTCCTCCAGATCTCCTCCTTCTTCCCAAGTTTGGGAAGCACAGCGAAGTGCAACTGGCTCAGCAGCTCACACGCTCGCAGCACGACCAGGGTACATCTGATCAAACGGCACTGCAGCTGGAGGGTCAAGAAGGAAGTTCCTGCTGTCAGCTGAGGCGGCCAGGATTCGCTGTTGAATGGCCTCCTAGTCCTGACTCAACCCACAGCGGCACAGCTGCTTCAGACTGTCGGTACGCCGATCCTCCACAAGTATCTTCTGCTCCTTCTGAGCGTCTCCTGTAATTGTCTTATCAATGATGTCTTCTATTTTTTTATCGTCTGTGCTGTTTCAATGATTGATTCAGTTATCTTTTTTGTGGCAGCACTTGCAAAGTTAAACAGATAGTTTGTTAGACATCTAATATGCTGACTTTGTGTTCTCTAAAATCAAAGAATGAATTTTAGGAACAATGAGGTTAAGCGAAGGAAATACTGAGGGAAAGATAGCTTCTGTCTAAGAGAGCAGCAGCTGCCTCATTTTCTCACTTTTTAAATGAAAATCAGTAGGGTCTCACAAAATAAATCCCTTAATATCACACCTGACTTAACAGGTACTGAATTGTACTTCTTCAACAATATTCACACAGAAAACCAAGGCGGCATTCTCCACCACGAGAAGTACCACGCCGGACCGGGAAACCCTGGGAGAGAGAGGAGGCAACAGCACCAGAGCAAAGACAGAGTGAGGTTTAAATGCTACCTTAAAAGTGACTTCTACTCGAGAGCACACATCCAGATTATGTGATGCCTACAGATACATGTGCTCCAGTTGACAAGATCAAGAATGTCAATAAAAATGGTTCTGGGAACTCATTAAGTCCCGTAACTATGAAAAAATATGTGTACAATGTCACCACAGTAGTCATAAGAGCAAAAATATCAAATACCATCTATATGCCCACCAATAACAGGGACCAGGTTGAAAAAAATTATGGTACATCCACCCAATGAAAATTACAGTACTACATAAAATTATGAGATGTCAAAACAACTACAGAAGAATCTATGTAGTATATCATTTGTGCAAGATAGTGAAGTTGGCCTTCACTTTTCCCAAAATTCTCAACTCTGGTTGCAAGCTCCTTTTGAGCTTTTCCTTCTTAGGAAAGAAAATAACAGAAAAATACTCCATATACAACCTTTCAGAACAGCATGATTAGAAAGACTTCAAACACACGAAAACTCTTCCTGAGATGAACTTCAAACTATATTCAAACTGAATATGACAGGAAAGGCCTTTTTAAGTCTATGTAAAACAAAGCACTGGTAGAAAAATTCCACACTTTCCTGAGAAGTCAAAATTTTTTAAAAGTAAATTACTAATAAAGACTACTTTAACGCCTCAAAAAAAAAAAAAATCCTGCCTTTAGGGATGTTAGAATTAGTCCAGAAGCTAAAATGTAGATAGTCATCTGAGCGACCTCAGAAGAGCCAACGTTTGACCTGGAACATGGAAAGGGGAAGCAGGGTACCAGAGGACATTCCTCTTGGAGAAAAGAAATCTAAAAGACCAGAGTATTCTGGGTGAAGTGAGATCAAGTGGAATACTGTGCGCAGGAAGTCTCAAAATCTTTACCAAGACTCCGTCCCCCTGCTCCGCTCTCTGACACATGATGAACACTGCCATCCTCGCACCATTCTAAAGTGCTTCCCTCTGAGGATTCTGTACAAAGCTGAACCTTTAGGGCCGGGGATTTGGCTCAGGGGTTCTGCCGCCTGTCTCACAAGCATAAGGGCTGAAGTTCGATCCCTGGTACCAAAAAAAGAAAAACAAAAAAGCTGAATCTTTGCAAAACAGAACGCTAAAGTTCTTGAGAAAATTTCTTCCTAATAGCCTATAGATGACCATAGAGAAAAATTTTTAAAAGATACTGCTGATCCTCATAGCTAACATTTGTGAAAGCAAGAACAGGCTATTTAAAATTACTCTAGTCAGTTTATTATCTTATTAACATTTCTGACCATTAAGCTGATGAATTAAGACTTCTTAAAATCAGGTTTATTCAGGTATAATTTACATACAAGAAAATTCACTAATTTTAAGGATATAGTTAATATGTTTTGACAAATACATGTAATCATCTAACCATCATCACAAGAGCAGGACATTTTTCATCTTTTCTATAACTCCAAAATGCTAACATAATTCAGGAAAAGTAGTTTCATTTATAGTCTTTGGATTTCTGAAGTATAACCTTCTAAAGGTTTAGAAATTATAATGCAGAGTTCTAAAAACAGACTCTATTTTGCCATCATTCATCTTTTTTTTTTTTTTTTTTTTTTTTTTTTTTTTCCCTTTGCTTTTTTTGAGATAAGGTCTCGCTATATAGAATACGCTGGCCTTGAACTCACAGCGATCCTCCTGCCTCAGCCTCCCAAGGACTTGGATTACAGGTGTGCACCACCATGCCCAGCACCATCATTCATCTTATACAGCAACTGGAACTTTAAAGACAATATTAAAACATGAAAATCTTAAACACATAAACACGTACAGTACATACCTACTCTTTTTTCTAAGAGGTTTCCTTGTTGGGCTAGCTTGATTGCATGTATATAGCCAAAGGAAGCATCATATCCAAGCATTTCACAATATATAAGTCTCACCATACATTCCTTCATCATTTTCTAGAAAACAAAATACCCAGTCACAATAAAAACAGAATGTTCTGATTTTTTTTAATAGTATGTGTTGTGATTTAACAGGAGAATCCTTTAATTCTGGCACTGAGGAGAAAAATATATATTATAAATTAGTCACCCAATATCAGACTATTTAAGTAAAAGTTGCTTCCAATCTTAATTACCAATAGTATTAACTTTGGTAAAATTATTTAAAATATTTTGGTGGTAATGAAAATAAATCAATTTACCTATTTCTAATTCTATGTGCCCATAGTATAAAACTGTTACAATGTGATACATGTGGTCCTCATACAAAGTTTCATCCACAGTAATCTTATTTGGCTTCTAAAATTACATACAAGTGAAATATATTTTGCCAAATGACAATATTCACAAAATTCTCACAAGTTGGCAATAATTTCTGTAATAAAAATATTTTTCACATTTAAAATCAAATTGTAGGCAAGGTATGCACCAGGAGCCCCAGCACTTGGCAGACTGAGGCAGGAGGATCATGTGAGTCTGAACACCACAACAAGACCCCATAGCCAGGTTGTGGTGGTGCACACATGTAATCCTAGCACTCGGGAGGCTGAGGCAGGAGGATTGCCGTGAGTTCAAGACCAGCCTGGGCTACAAAGTGAGTTCCACGTCAGTTTCAACTACATAGTGAGACCCTGTCTCAAAAAACAAAAAAACACAAACAAACAAACAAACACACACAACAAGACCCCATCTCAAACAAACAAAAATAAATAATATGGCACCTGGACCTTCTTCAGAAATATTATGCTACACATATGTAACGGTCTGCCTTGTAGATGCTTCTTTTTAAATGAACTTGAGGTTGGGCCAATCAACCTTCAGTAGTCACAGAAAAATTGTGCACAACTTGACTTTCTTTCTTTGTCTCCTTTTCCTTGTTTCTGCGATGTTGGGGGTAGAATCCAGGGCCTCACGAATCTAGGCAAGCACTCTATCACGGAGCTCCACCCCAGCCTAAGTGTCCTTTCAATTGTCATCAACTCAGGGGCGCGGTTTCATTAAAAGTATAGCCACTCTGGTGATATTTAATTTCTTAGTGGGGCCTTTTAATACGTGCAAGACAAGCTAAAATTTTTTAAATGATATAAATTTGTTGTATCTGTACAACTGCATTCTCAGTATTTATAGCAAATTTTAGTCCAAAATAAAAAAGATGCAAGTTAGAGAAAAGCTCAGACTTTCAATATTTAAAAATTAATTATTTAGTACATTACAGGATTATTAAATCAAAAGTGCTTATAATATATAAGCCGTTAGGGCCGGGGATTTAGCTCAGTGATTCCGCCACCTGCCTCGCAAGCACAAGGGCCCAAATTCGATCCCCGGTACCAAAAAGAGAGCATCTTACAATTTAATAGTAATAGTAAAATTATTTTAAAGTGAGCATAGTAATGTTTAATATTGCACAGGTGCATGTGTGTGCACATGTGTGTAAATACAGAGCTTGAAAAGACACCATAGAAAATTGTAGAATGACACTCAATTGAGGTCACTTGTGCTTAAAGCAAGAAAAGTTAATTAACACATTAATTAAAATTACTAAATACTGGAGCTGGGGAGATAGCTCAGAGTACCTGCTTAGCTTGTGCAAGGCCCTGAATTCAATTCCTAGCACCACAAAAAAAGACTACTAAATACCAAGAAAGACTACCCCCTCTTCAAAGGCTTCTGTGTCAATCAGAGAGATAACTGTTCATGGAAGCCATTAAGTTTCAATCTGGATTTAAAACATTATCTCAGAGTTCTCCGAAAGTCATTCTGAGCTTCAAGTAAAATTACTGCATACATTATTATTCTCTCATTTTTAGAGAAAAGTTCCATTCCTCAATGTAGTAATTCTCCTTAGTTTTTCTAAAAGTGTTCGTACCTTTAAAAGTCACTTTCCACAACTCTAGGAGGGATGCCCAGAGATGGAGGGCCATGATTATCACATAATCGTTCTTCCAAGCCCTGTCTCCCTACCTTCTACCTATTAATCTTAGTTATAACCAACGCCAGGTTTAGGCCTTGCTGCAAGGAAAACTGTACGGCTGAGGTGCAGTTCAGTAGCAGAGTGTTGTACTGAAGGCGTGAAGAAGGCCCTCATCCCAACACTGGAAAAAAGAAAAGAAAAAGTATATCTAGTGATCTCAATTACAGAAAATAGAAATCTAACAAAACACGGAACTATGTGCTGGTGCACAGCTATAATCCCATCATTCTGACAGGCTGAGTCGGGGGTGGGTGGTCACAAGAGCCCAGCCTGGGCATCTCAAAACACAAATGAATGAATGAATGAAAGAATGAAACCATTTATTTTTAACATTTCTATCTAATACCATGAAGTACAAAAATTTTGTACGAGTACCTACAACTATATGCACAAACACACATATGCTAACACACACAGAGACAGAAGACTGATGCCTTGAGTTTTAATTGGTCTACAAATTATGACCATAAAAGAAAATATATACATTCTCTCAGGCTTTACAAATATTGTTCATGTTGCTGATCATGTAGGCATGCAAAATGATCACCTTGGTATTTTTATTAGGGGGAGCGAAAACACCCCCACATGACATAAAACATACTCACTAAAATGATGCTCATTAAATGTCGGTTGGGGAAAACTTCATTCAAAAAAAAGGAAGCCAGGTGTGGTGTGGCACTGTAAGCCAAGCAACTTGAGAGGCTAAGGCAAGAATGTCAAAGCTCAAGACCAGCCTGTGCAGTTCAGCAAGACTTTGTCTTAAATAAAATAAAAAGGGCTGGAGATGTAATCCAGAGCACTCTGGATCCAACCCCCAGTACCATCGAAGAAAAAAAGGCATTACACATTGTTTAAACGTACTGAATTATCACATTGTACCAAATAAAAATGGACAATCATTAGAATTAAAAAAACAGCAACAACAAAACCCCAAGTCTTAATTCAACTGTAGCCTGCAAATAGTGGCTACTCATTAATAGTTGCTGAATGAATGCTGTTTAAAAAAAATCAAATTTTATCCAGTTCAAAAACATGCAACTGGCCTTGTTTTAACTGCTGTGCAATATACTCAGTTTCTCATCAAGAAAACAATTACTTTACCTGCCAGCCAACCTACACACCAAAAGGTATAGCACTAAAATTAAAGATCTATAATTTAGGGTCGGAGGTGTAGCTCAGTGGTATAGTGTGAGTTTGGCATTCGTGAAGCCCTGAGTTCAATCCCTCAGCCTCCCCCCAAAAAATAAAATCCATATCAATTTCAGAAAGAGTACATTATGTTAAATTTCAGAGTATACAACACTAAAACAAGATGATGTATACTGGAGTCCCAGGAGTGCACAGTCACATATGTGTGATTACAGTCACCTTTGTCCTCACTACATAATCAGCTTCATTTGGTCCACTGCAGCACCCAACAATAAAAACCTAAGGTAATGTCTGCTACCGCCTCCAGCCAACCTGGACTACAAGACACTTGAGAAACTATTAGTTAGATGCCAGTGTCGGTCACAGCGGGCCAGATTTCACATTCAAATGTGTTGGCAGCGGGCCAGGGATTTAGCTCAGCGGTTCCACTGCCTGCCTCAAAGCACAAGGTCCAAAGTTTGAATCCCTGGTACACACACACACACACACACACACAAAAAAATGTATTGGCACCAACTGCAAACTTACCAGTGTTGTAGTAGGAGCAGAAACAGTTGCCTTCAGACTATTCAGTTCCTGCTGGATTAATTTCTCTTCTTCCTGAAAAAGTGCACATATTTAAAAGAGAAAAATAAAATACTTTCAATTAAAAAGAAACATTATTTTAAGAGAGACAGATATTATGTGCTGAAGATCTGCATCTCACCAACCATCAGAATCATCCCTGGAGAGAGAGTATTTCCATACTAACCCACCGATCCACTTCTCTTCACTCAGATACTGGCCCCTTGAAAGACTACGCACCACAAAAATGCTTTTAAAAAATTAAAAGCGGAAAGTAAAAAGAGATTCTCCATGTTCTGGCCCAAGTTAAGAGTCCCATGTCTTCTTCTTAGAACTAAAAAGTTTTCACGGAATAGAAAAATAGGGTAAGTAGACACAAACGAACAAAGCGTTTCCTTCCTTTCTTTGTTTGTTTATTTGTTTGAGACAGAGTTTTGGTAGATAATCCAGGCTGCCTTTAAATCACAGTGTAGCCCAGTCAGGCCTTACATTTACAATCCTCCTGCCTCAGCACCTCAAGTAGCTGGAGTTACAAGCATGTCCCACTACAGCCCACCCTTTCTCTCTGATTCTCTCACACACATCCCAGTGTAGTCATTCCCAGCATTTCCATTATATTTTATCTCCTTAAACACTTAAACATTGGCCCTTTTATTGTTACCTTTTAAATATACACTGAATTAGCTGGTATTATGGTTCAGATCGAAAATGTTCCCAGCTGGGAATGGTGGCACACACATGTAATCACACACTTGGGAGGCTAAGGCAGGACCGCCATGAGTTCAAAGCTAGCCTGGACTACATAACAAGACCTTGTCTCAAAAAATAATCATCATCATCATCATCATCATCATTCTATAATAATAAATAAAATATCCCCCAAAGACTCGTGAGTCTTTGGGAGGTGACTGAATCTAGGGCTCTATAGTGGAGGAGCTGCTGTTGGGAGACGGGGTTTGTCCAGAAGAGGTGGATCACTAGGCCCCTTCACTATGCCCTTCTTGTCTTGGAGCTGAACAACTATGGACTAAAAATGTGAGCCTGAATAACCTTCTCCTCCTTGAAATTGTGGGTGTCAGGTATTGAGTCTCAATAACCAGGAAAGTGACTAAGACAGCAGATGTTCATGAGATGCTTGATTAAGAACTATTAGCAAAGTAGTGCTGCATTTGGATACGCTGCAATATACCTATATCTATATACAGACATAGATTAGATTTAGACGGTATCTATATAGATATAGATACAGATTTTTTTCCACTAGAAACTGAAACCAGGGCCTCTACCATGGAGATACATCACCAGCTTTTGCTTTTTATTTTATTTTATCTCTTCAGACAGGGTCTCCCTAAGTTGCCCAGGCTGGCCTGGAATTCTCAATCCTCTAGCCTCAGTCTCCCAAGTAGCTTGTATTACAGGTGTGCACCTCCACACTGGGCCAAAAAAAATTTTTTTTAAATGCCATTCAGTATCTCATAAACATGAGCAAAGGACAAAAACAAAAAGCATTAACTCCATGAATAATGACTCCTAATGTGTAGCAGGCCAACCCTCTCCAGCATGGCATTACCTTACATCAGCCTACAACAACATTCCAACCCTTTATCGTACTGTTTTTCTTTTCTCCTGACACTTATATTGAAGCCTCAAATGGACGGTCAGTTCTCCGGGAGAACAAAATGTGTTCTAACACACAACCTCGCTCCGTATCTATTGAACAAATGATGGCACACTATGTGTTTTTAAGATATAAATTCCTTGAGACTTTGAAACAGCATTTCATACAAACCGTGCAATTCCCAAAAGTCTGTGGGAAACTTAACTTCTCCTGGAACAGCTCACTTTCAAAGCCCATCTCAGGCAGACTTACTCAGCAAATTTTACACTCTGGGATTATTTAAGTTCTTTTTCTTTGCTCAACCCTTGCCTAAGAACCTCGGACTCCCCTGAGATGTGCACAGCAGGCTGGGTTGGCAGGAAACATCTAGATGCGTGCGTCCAGCTGTTCCAGGCCCCGAGAGGGAGGAACTGAGTGGGGAAAGAAGCTGCAGGTGAGCAATGCCTGCCACCACCCACGAACTGAGCGTTTCCACACACTGGACACAGCAAGTATGAGATATGCTCGTCCACTCGAGCGTTGGGAAACACGGAGGGGCAAGGGGCAAGAAATCTGCCGCAGATCAGTGCGAGTCGGTGGAAACCCGGCCTCCCCGGGTCTGTCCAGGCAGGAAGAGGTCGCTTCCAGATCGAGGGAAGGAAAGGAGTCCCCACCCGGCCCCGACCTCGCTCCCGGCCCCGCACCTACGTGCTTGGAGGTGAGGGCGGTGACGCCGCGGACCAGGCCGCCCAGGCGCGAGGAGAAGGGCGCC